CTAATTAGTTATCTCGTCAGTGGGGTGCACATTGTGGTTTCGTGGGTGTTTTGAGACCCCAGGGCTACGAGTCATGCCGTTAGGTAACACTATGCACTCAAAAATCGGCAACGATATTTAACTCATTGGGCGCAGCCACATCCAAAAGCCAACTTCAACAACCAATGTCGCCAGGGGACAGAAACTCATTCCGCAATGTATGTATGCATGACTGGCATCAACTTTGCATCAGTGACGATGGTTTTGTAACTCTCGGGAAACTGTTAATATTATTAAAACACAGATCAATCGTGGGGCGGATCCCCGCTCTTGAACCGTGGTGCCATTACCTACTCTTCCAAGGCTCATTCATCATTCTTGTTGAAGAACGCAATAGAAGATGTCGATATCCACCTGTCTCCTGATTCGTGATTCGTTGGACAAAAGAGGTACAGAGCTTCCAAATGCGTTCCATCGGGAACAAATCTGTGGTCTCGATCGTTTTGTTCGAGCCTGGTCTCATTCCATAAGTAGGAAACCCTTGAATCAATGAGGAGGTGCAGGCTGGAAGGTCAATGAAAGAGGGGGGAGGAGTAGGATATTTAAATTACGCCGACCCGTAGAATTGTTTCAGATCATATCCAGGAGAGTTCCACCTTTTTTCACACCGTCAGATTGATAAGGTCTAATTACATTGATTGGAGGATAGATCGAAATCCATCGAATTATCTTTCATTCCTGGTATCATTTAACAAACTTTGGTGGTTGTCCATTCAACTAACGTGCGTAAGTGATCGTTGGTAACTAACTCACCAATGATCCAGCTCTGATTCTATGTTACAGTAAACCCTCGCTATAGCAATTTTAATCTTGGAAGCCTGTTCAATTTGTTATGTAGAGGAATTCGTGTATAGAGGTTGAGCGTTCAAGGACGCCCGAATATCCTGCTGCTGCTGATTTGCAAGCTTCCGTGCTCCTAACCTGTATCATAGTAATTAAGCTGTTGAATTAGACTCTGATCTCCCTGATCCTCATACAAGTGATGTCTTTTTTACCAAATCTGAAGCCTCTGAAGCTGTAATTGTGGGACGTCTGAAGTGGGTTGTATTGGTTAGCCTATCTCAGAAGAGATGCTATATACTACTACTGTGCGGTGCGCTAGTCCATAATAGAAAGCCTAGGCTCCAACAGTAATCTGTAAAAGGGTTTCTGTATTCATATCCTCATCTTCATCACTCCCGTCATCAGAGTCTAATTGTGCAATAGTATACTGTTGGTAGCGCTACTGCTTCGAGGAACAGTGGGGCTGTCTGGTCAAGATGATCATAACATGAAGAAAGGATCTCGGAGACGGAGGACAGAGTGGTCTTTTGATTTTATAGCTTCTCAAATCAATGTCTTAAAGCCTTAAATTGCTGAGGGTTATATTTTGCAATTAATGAGCGCGTAGAGCTATTTTCTGATTGACCGAAATCGCGGTTCTGCGAGGCCTTTTGAGTCGGTATAACGAATTATATAGAAAATCTATTGAATAGTTAATGGCTTTCACTTACAGAGGTTTAACGAATTTTTCGATGTTAGTTATGGAAGAATTCGTTATAGCGAGGGTTTACTGTTAGTTAACGATCATCTTAACTATTAATTAGTTGCGAAGTCAAACTACTAGTTAGTTAGGTAGCTAACTAGTTAACTGGTTAGCCAGAATTATGTCATCGCATGCTAATTCTCCGTTGGGTCTCATCGGCATTTTTTTGTCTAATCAATCCTGGCAATCCTAACAGTTTTCTGTGGCAATGTCAATATATTTCATTTCTTTCCCCCCCCTGGCCCGTCCTTCATTCAGGACCTATGCATTAGGTTTCCGTTTTATTAGTTAGCTGCACTCTCCTCGTCGTACAGTTCAGGTTCATTCATGCTGTTGCGCCATATCCGCCTATTACATATTCCTCGGTTCCGCCTTGCTCAGATGGCCGCTCGCCTTTCCAGCTCACATACAGGAGACGGAAACGGAAGATCCGGGAATTGGGTCGGGAATGGGCATACCGCAGGTGTGTCATTAGATGATATCCCAAAATCCAGTAACTTCACCTCAAAGCTGCCTCCGGATCCCGCCTTTGAAACCCCGGAATCTTCCCATAATGCCCCACGCGAGGCCTTGGGACCCCGCCTTGTTAAAGGAGCTTTATTCACCTATGTCCGCCCCGAAACAACAGATCAACCAGAGCTTCTAAGTGTTAGTCCGCGGGCGCTAAGGGATCTAGGTCTCAAGGAAGGCGAGGAGAAGTCTGCACAGTTCCGCGACATTGTATCGGGTAATAAAATATTTTGGACTCTGGAGAATGGCGGGATATATCCGTGGGCACAGTGTTACGGGGGTGAGAGAGCTCCTTTCCTTTATACCAACCGAGAATGAGCTATTGTTCAAATCGTTGTAATCGCTTGCGTGCTAACACCCTTTGAGGCTGGCAATTGTATGCATGAAACACCTTTGGATGTCTACCTTTGGTAATTAATATTGACAGCATGTTAAAAACAGTGGTTCATGGGCCGGACAGTTGGGAGACGGGGTACGTTTAGTTACATCTTATATTTGTTATCTATCTATTGGCAATGAGCCATTATGAGTTTAACAGCCTGTCTAGCGCGCAATCAGCCTCTTCGAATCTACGAATCCGGTAACTAAAATTCGATATGAGGTTCAGATAAAAGGGGCTGGCAGAACTCCTTATTCTCGATTCGCAGATGGGAAAGCGGTCCTCCGTTCGAGCATCAGGGAGTATATTGTTTCAGAAGGTGGATATTCCCATTCCATAGAATACATCTGATTTGACTCCTTTTCTAACCCTGCTCCTAGCTTTGAATGCGTTGGGCATCCCCACAACCCGTGCTCTTTCACTTGTACTTTTACCCAATTCTAAAGTGATAAGAGAACGGCTAGAACCTGGTGCGATTGTGACACGTTTTGCAGAATCTTGGATAAGGATCGGAACATTCGACCTTCTTCGGTCTCGTGGAGATCGAAACCTCACCAGGAAGCTTGCAACCTATGTCGCTGAAGATGTTCTTCCTGGTTGGGAATCACTCCCAGCGGCTTTGTCTCTACCAGCGGCACATGGTCAAGATCCACCATCCGTCGACACTCCTCTGAGGGGAGTACCAAAAGACGCAATCCAAGGAGGGGAGGGTGTTGAGGAGAACCGCTTTACTCGCCTCTATCGAGAAATAGTACGACGTAATGCAAAGACCGTTGCCGCATGGCAGGCCTATGGTTTTATGAATGGTGTCTTAAACACGGACAATACCTCTATTATCGGGCTCTCTCTCGACTACGGACCATTCGCTTTTATGGATAACTTTGACCCCCAGTATACCCCGAATCATGACGACCATCTCCTTCGATATTCATATAAGAACCAACCCAGTGTGATTTGGTGGAACCTGGTGCGACTTGGGGAGTCCCTGGGTGAGCTAATGGGTGCTGGAGACCAGGTGGATGACGAGGTTTTCGTTACGAAGGGAGTTACGGAGGAATTTGGCAAGACCCTTGTGCAAAGAGCAGAGAAGCTCATAGGCAACATTTGCGAAGAATATAAAACCGTATTCATGAACGAATACAAACGACTCATGTCAGCACGTTTGGGGTTGAAAACTCGCAAAGAATCCGATTTTGAGGAGTTATTTTCGGAACTGCTTGATACCCTCGAGGCTCTCGAGCTTGATTTCAACCACTTTTTCAGACATTTGTCTGGTATTTCTCTTGCTGATATCGAAACTGATGAGCAGAGAAAGGCTATCGCCAGTATCTTTTTCCATAAAGAAGGTGTTGGCGGTTTAGGGAATACTGAAGAGTCGGCCAGGGAGCGTATTTCTAAATGGCTTTCTTCGTGGAGGGAACGTATCGCTGAAGATTGGGCTGCTGTAACGGATGAAAAGAGGCAGAAGGCCATGAAGGCTGCTAACCCAAAGGTGAGTATTATTCATCATTTTCACCATCTAAGATGGACGCATGCAGTGTTGTGCGATTTGATAGAAGTTACTAATATCGATATATAGTTCCTCCCACGTTCCTGGGTTCTTGATGAGGTGATTCAGCGTGTCGAGAACAAGGGTGATCGAAAAATTCTCGACCGCATCATACATATGGCCCTTAATCCGTTCCAGGATGGGTGGGACTTGAATAAGGATGAGGAAGAGCGATTCTGCGGAGATGTCCCACGGTACCAGCGAGCGACAATGTGTAGTTGCAGTTCATAAATATTCTATGAAAAAGAAGTTGACTTCGTGGAAGTTTAATTGCGATATATACCCCTTTCCTCTTGTAATAAGCTTATATATTTCGCCTACTACTTTTTTTCTCTTTTGGCACTGTAATGATCTGGATTAAATCTGATGCCATTTCGTTTCTGTTTTTGGTCACTTTACATCATTTTGTTATTACAGACATTTAAACGCACCACGGTTTTCACAACAGTATTGAAAGTTGAATGTACAACTTGCGCAATCGTCAGGTTTAAAGGCTTTAATCTTCACTTCATCATTCACTATGGCAATCCAAGAAGCAAGGGAGCTTTTATAAGGAGAGCTCCAGTCAGTACTAACTCCCTCGAAGAGCTTTGCTCCGACATCTTCAAAACAAAATCTGCCGTACATCGAAAACCCATATACTAACTCCTCCAGCACACGAAAAGGAAAAGGACCTGAAAACTGATCCCTCATTTGCGCAGTCTCTCCTTGAACAGTCAGCAATCACAAAACCATGGAAGACAATAACGATATGCTCACCCGAGCATTACAAGAGAGCCTCCGGTTACACGAAAAACACCAGCAAAGCCTGCAAAATGCCATGGTATCCCCACCTGCGGGCTGAAGAAAGAATCCTTCGTGAGTCTGCCGCTGCAGCTGCGGCGGCGCAATGTACCAGGCACAATGAGGAGGATTAGCTGATTCGGCTGATCATCGAGAGAAGCGTTGCGGAGGAGATGCAGGCCAGGAATCGATGGAGACAGGCGTAGCTAGAAGAAATGGCGAGGCTGGATCGGCTTTTTGGATCAGGATTGAGGTTTGAGTTAGTGGGAAGAAGTAGAGAGGGCAACCGAGACGGCAGTGGTGAGAGTTGTGGTGAAAGCAATGAGGAGACAAGCGATGAGAGCACCGGAGAGAGCAGCAGTGGGAATGGAGAAGGGACTCGATCTATTATCTTCCAAACAACCAATCATGAACGTACTCTACAAGACAGAGGCCGAAAACATGCGAAACCTGACGAGGAAGAACGTGTATAGGCTGGTCATATGCCAATAAGACTGCCTCCACTCTAATTATCCGCGACGCTCAGCGGACACTGTGAGCCGTCGAGGTCCCTGGGAATGTGGATCCATGAGCAACGTACGTGCAAATTTCCATACATTTATTTTACACCTCCCAATTCTGTCCCGGACACCTTTAGCTAACAAAACTGAATCAGAGAACCAGAAACTCCCGGAACTGTGAGAATCGAGTCGAACCACAGCGTCAAAACCTGTCTATGTCGCAGGGACCCCGAGGATTCATGGCATTGAGAGGAATGTCAGCCGCATCAGCCATCAACCGGCACAACACTTCATCGACAGCATATCGAACAAATACTTCAAACAGCATCCTTAGCAAGTCCTGATCAGAATACTCGAGTTGGCCATCGCCCTACAACTGTGGGCAGAACTAACATTACCCTTAGCAGAACCATTCATTATGCCCCACTCCTCTATAACCACCTACTTCCTCGATGGGTTCCCCTCCTGAAGCCGACACGACGCCTATTCAACAGGCTCCTACACTGCAGCCGGCGAAGAACTCAGCGATGCAGAGCTACAAGCCGCCATAAACGAGTTTGCAGGCGGGAAATATCGTAATAAGGAGGAAGAAGCTATACAGCGCAAACAGGGGATCCCAACGTATGAAGAGGCGTGCAGGATGGAGATTTATCAGGCGCCTATGGGGAGGAGGTAGGTGTTTCAGGGGCTTAGTGCTGGGACGTTCGAAGGGGGTGGGGAAGGGGGTGAAGAAGTTGGAGAGGTAAGGTGAGGGGTTGTTGGGGATATGGATTTGGGGGAGACGATGAAAGTAGCTAATAGACATCTGGGTAGGGTAAATGGGAATAGGGATGGTTTGGGGGGGGATGAACGTGCGGAGTTTGTATAAGTGTATGTAGTTGTGAAGATGACCCCGAATTTCGATGTTTGAACATTGCAACTAAAGCCAAGCTGTCTCTTCTCCTGCCTCTGCTATTGTTGGAATTTTTGAAGCAAGGCTTGACCCAAGATGTTCTTATATTTTGGCTGAACTAAATGAACGATACTCTTCTGTCCCTTTAATATATTCTAGCCCGCTGCCCTCTATCATATTTAGGGATATATATGCTGAATTTATCTCACACATCAATCCCAACTTGACGTGAACTCGTGTATGTATAGTAACTGTGAACTTCAGAGACATTCGGCGACGATGCCGTCTTGATTGCTTCATGAACAGTGCAGTACATATCTCCGCTGGCAATCAAGATATGAGATAATTGATAACGGTTTTCATTCCCTTTCTTCTCCTCACCTTTGGAAGAGATAAACAGAATCAGAGTCAAGAAGAGCGACAGGAAACACTAAGGAGAGAAAAGTAGATCACTGACTCAAAAGGAAGCTAAGTACTTCTCTCTCAGATGCTATGAGAGTGGACGATTGACACGAGCGCGGTATAAGGGAAGTGAGATGAAATACTATGAGGGAGAGCAAAGGCCACTCAGAATGGTCTTGATAAAAGAGCTAAATGATTTCCCTTTCGTATAACTGTATGACATATGTAAATCATTTCTGGTGATCTTCGTCCGAAATCCGTTGAAGCAGATAAAAGAGAGTAAGAACTTCTAAATGAGAGGGAAAATAAAAAAAAAAAAAAAAGCACTCTCCAATGTAGAGAGTTAATAATAGATAAGGCCTTGTACCTGTAGTTATATCGGTAAAAAGGTTTCCTCTGTGAGGATTAAAGAAAACACATATTAGTTATTAAATTGAAAGGGGTAAAAGATAGAAGAAACACAGATGGTTAATCAATCAGGATAAAGATGAGGTTTAATAATACACGGCAATAAAAGTCCAATGAATTTTTTTTTAAAAAAAAAAAAAAAAAAAAAGCCAAGATGCAACCCTTAAAGAAACAAAAGAATTTTTTCAGGGGAAAAAAAAAGAAAAAAGAAAAAAGAAAAAAAATGGCATAAAAATATAATAGAAATGCCAATTTTGGGCCCCTTTTCTTAGTCTGCGTGCCTGTGTGTATGCATGCATCCATGTATGTGTTTGCTTTGCATTTCCTCGCCTTCTCTCAATCTTGATATGTTCATCCCACATATTAACTTTCTGCACTGTCATCCCTCTTACCACCATTTCCATCTTGTTTCCCTACCAATACTTTCCTTGAATTCATTTTGGTGTGCCCAATCCAGGCCATGAAGGGTGGTTTTCTGTGTTTGTGTGCGTTTTGTATACGTGTAGAAGAAAAAAGTTTCGTTTGTGTGAAGTTGTAGTAGCAAGTAGAAGTAATAGGTAGCATAAACAAAAGGGAAAGGGAGGCATATCTCATGATTTGACAAAAAGAAAAAGGGGAAATAAAATGTTCTGAGTTTAGAGTCATGACCAAGCCATTATTCCGCCAACCAAACTGAGCGTGAATTTCTTTCAATGCCCCGTGCTGGCTGGAAGGAAAGAAAAACACACACTAAAAACTCCTCGTTCTTTTCTCACGACGCTCCCACCCAACTTTTTTTCAGATGCTTAGTTGGGGCAGGCTGCCTGGACGTGGCCGGGCTGCTTGCATTTGTAGCAAACACGCTCGCCCTTGACTTCGGTGGGGCAGTCTCGGGAGACGTGACCAACTTCGCCGCCTTTAAACACGAACGAAAACAAATCAAAAGGATTAGATATAATGCTTAAATGGAAGGGGGAAAGAGAGATATATAGGTAGTGAGGGGAGAGGGGAGGAGAAAATTGAGGGACATCAAACATACAGTTGTAGCACTTTTGCCCCTGAGTGCAGTCGCGAGCCATGTGGCCGAAACCACCACAAGAGTAGCAAGTTTGTTGACGGTTGCCACCATAGCCACCTCCGTAGCCACCAGCACCACTGCCATATCCACCGGAGCTGTATCCCTGGGAGCAGTTACGGGCGATGTGTCCAACCTGACCACACTTATAGCATTCCTGGCTACTAGCTCCTCCTCCACCTGAGTAACCTCCGCTGGGGGTGTAGCTGTCTCCGGAACCGGCAGAAGTGCAGTCACGGGAGATGTGTCCGCCCTGACCGCATCGGTAACAGGTCTTCTCTTTGGGTGCAGCAGTACATTCACGGCCTAGAATTGGGGGATTGAGGTTAGATGGAAAGTTCAAGAGATCGTCGGTTGGACGATTGTGGTTTTAAGTTTTACTTACTGACGTGTCCCTGTCCTGAAAAACGCAAGAATAACGGCATTAGAATATCAAGATTTCTGGAGCCGGGGATTTAGGCAACTTACCACCACAGTTGTAACTAAACGGAAGTTAGATATGCAAATGAGATGGGATAGGAGAAGGTAATTAATGAGCACGACTTACCAGGTAGGAGTTCCTTTCTTGGGGCAGTCGCGAGCCTAATGAGGGGATAAAAAACACAAATCAATGCCATCCACGAATCCACAGGGCGCAAAACATATTAACCTGATGAGAGGCATCGCCACCTGGAACGGAAATCTTGTTAGCAAATCTGAATCCATGTGGTTTGTTTTAAAAGCGGGACTGAGAATGGTTTATGGAAAATGGACTGTTAAGCAATCGTAGAGCACAAAGGGGTTATTTCGAGATTTAAACAATTCACAAGGGTCGAGAATGTGGACAGTTATTCGCGGTTTTGCGCGACAAATTATAAAAATTCCGATCCGGAGAAACAGTACGGAGGAAACAGCAATTCAACCAACGCCCGCAGCACCGTTAAAGGATATCTCCAGAACAAAAGCAAAGTAAAAATGGAGAGGAGGGGATACAAAGGGGCGGGTGGGGAAAGAGAGAGATACAGTGCGAGCATATGAAAAAGCCTGTCCGGCTAACAAAACTTACAGTTGAAGCATCCACGGCCACCTGACTGGTAATCCATCTTGGCGGCTGGGAAAAAAAAAAAGGATACTTCTTTTTGGGGGATAAGGACTGAAAGGGAGGAATTGATGATTGAAGGGACCAGAGTGATGATCTTTTGTAGATCGTATTTAAATCCAATCGGTTCGAAGAGAGCAAGAGGGTTTTAAATACGTCGTTTTCGTTGTGTTCCTGAGAAAGAAAAAGTAAAAATAGCGGCTAAGTCAGCAGAGAGACTTTTCGAAAGGAGGTAAAAATCAAAAAAAAAAAAAAAAAAAAAAAAAAAACCGAAAACTGAAAATTAATAAGATCTGGAAATGCGAGAAAAGTGAAAATGTCAAAAATTGCAGCACAGTGCGATGCGGGGAAGCTTTGTAAGGCGGTGGTGGCTCGAAGCGAGTGGCCAATGTGATGCCACCACAGCTAATTAAAGGAACAGAGCAAGGCAGGGTCGGAATACGTACGACAACAATCGCAGAGCGGATGGATGGTGCGGAGAGAGAAAGAGTGCGAGTATAGAGAAGAGAAGAAGAGACCGTGTGAATTTGTAGAAGCTGACGTCGGTGGAGAGAAAAAGGGAAATAAAAAGAAAAATCGTGCCCGAAGATTTTTCGATGTTTGATGAGCGCAGCCAAAGTCACCTGTTCTGGGCGGCAAAAAAAAAAAAAAAAAAAAAAAACAATAGCATCCACCCAGCCGCATTTTTGTTTGGGTTAGTCTGTTAATCAGTTAGTTCAGGGCTGACATTGAAGGTCTGCGTCCGACAACGTTGAGGATCAACTGAGGTGTCTTATTAAATAACATCTCAAGTGCGAAAGATGGACAGATGGAATAGAATGAACGATGGTGCTCCGGTTTGATGGTGCTGCCGCCTTGATTTGTGCGTGGTGGGCTCAAGTCCATCCGTGCATGTTTTCTCGACTCTTTGCTTGCCTTGCCGGATATGTATTTGTTTCAAGGTAACATCATACTTGTTGAACTTCCCCCCTTATATATCAGGGTTATATTCCAAGCAAAAGAACAGAATCGGCATTGCCAATGTATATATCTCATCTTCTGTCAGTTGCCCTGTCGGTTTCAGAATTAGGCTGTCCATTGAGGTTTCCTGTGGATCGCAGATGGAGTTTTCTGAGGGTCAAATTATGGACTATTTCCCCTTCAGAAATAGCAGGATATTCGCCAAAATGCAAAACGGAAAAAAAAAAAAAAATAAATAAATATAAAAAAAATAAAATAAAACAAAAAAGAAAGCATATCGAAAGAGTGAAATATATCGAGGGGTATTATGTCACACTTATATACCCAGCCCCACGCTGGCAATCTTCCTCCCAAGGTCCCTGTCGTATCCTCAATCTGCCTCCAAGGTCCCAGAAGCTATCCCTAGTTATTTTAAACGCATGGGAATCCCATCCGTTACCTGCAACCTGCACGACCCATCTAGTAGCACCAGCTAAGGGCCCTAGAACAACTGGGAGATGGGCTGTTGCACAATGGCGGGACAGGGCAAGGGAAGCCGAAGGTGCTCCGGAAGGACGAAAGGGATGGCGAAATTGGGTAGTATTGTCTTGAAAGTTGGTTTTGTCCCTTTTCTTCCCCGCCTTTCGGGAACCATGCATGCATACAGGATAACATTTGTGAGATTTGGATTTCATTTTAGCATTCTAATATTGCGATTTTAATGCTGAGTTGTGGGATGTTGCTGGTTGTGTGAGTCTGGTTCGTATTGCTTCCCATTCTTGTGTTCAGTTACATATTTTGAGCGAAGGGAGGTGTAAATGGATATCGGATGGAGCATGTATATTTTTAATGCTCTTGTCAAAGTCTACGTATTTCAGTTCAGCTCCACATCTTGTCTAATCG